CTGGCAGCTGGGGTGGGTTTGCGCGCTATCCCGTAATCATTGTGGTGCCGAGGTGCACAAGCCCCTGGAAGACACGGTCTCCGCCGTCAAGCCTGGCAGGAATGCTCACTACAAGAGGCCCCAATTCGATTCGAAGCTGACCCTGAGAGGGCTTCCTGCTCTGACTTGAAAGGTGATGGAGGAGCCTCGAGACCTCTCCGCTCTGAGCATACCTTGCCACATGCAGCAGTAGCTTGCCCGCATTGCTCTGGTGACTTGGTTTGCACGAGTCAGAACCGACATGCTGTGTTTTTTTTCGACCGCTGCTGTGATGCATACTGTAAACTTCTTGTTCTGGCCAGCAGAGCAATTCGGGCATGGTCTTCCATCTCCAATCGGTGCGGCGAATGGAGTGGCAGAAAAGTAAGTGCGATCCAGAAGTGCCATTGTTTTAGCAACTTCCCAAAGATGGTCTTTGAGTTCAATTGCCAATTGCTCGGAAGGGTTCGTGGCGAAGGGGTGGTGCAGCCAAGCAAGATGCTGTCCACGACGGCCAGTCCGAACTCGCGATGGACACCTCGGCTCAAAGGACGAACACCTTCGAATTTAGACTACGCCCCATGCGGTCAAATCATGGAGTCGTTGCTGGCGGCTGGCCCCGCAGTCCCGGAGGCCCTGACCCGAAGAGAATTCTGGGCCCTTGCGTATCTGGGAGTCGTCTCAGGGATGGTTTTTTTTAATCCCTCAAGTTGCGGCCTTCGGATTTACAGGGAAGCCTCAGCACAGCAGCGAAGCACCGGAGGTCGAAGGCGACGCCCGCAACGACTGCAGCTTGAGCTTGCTGCGGAGGCACGCTCTGAGACCTCGAAAGGTCTGATGCCTGCAGCGTGAAAAGGGCTTTCAACAAAGCTGCGGCTACCTTTTCGGCTGCTGGGTTCGAGCTGACACAGCTACGTGCGATCAGATATGGGCACACACACACACGCACTCGCTCTCTCTATCTCTATCTCTATCTCCATCTCCATCTCCATCTCCATCTCCATCTCCATCTCCATCTCCATCTCTATCTCTCTCTCTCTCTCTCTCTCTCTCTTTCTCTTTGTGTCTCTGTGAGTTGGCTGTCATGGCTTGTCCTTGGAATGCACATTGCTAGTCGAACCATCAGATTTCGAAGGACTCTGCGCAAAGCAACTCGCAGAGCCTTCAAGTCCTGTTCATTTACCTCGAGTCAAGTTCAGGGCTTTTGGATCCCAGATTTCTGAGTCCAACCAAGCACTGGCTCCCTTGCACTCTGGCTTTGGCGAACCAGATGGCAATTCCAAACCAATCAGAACACCAGCAGCAAGTGAGGTGGCGAGAAGTCGAGCTTAATTCGCCTGTGAAGCCGGGTGAGCCGGGACCCCCAGTCTTCACCGGTTTTGCACGAGCATGAGGCTGTTCAGGCTTCCACGCCCAGAGCTTGAAAAGAGAGTCTTCGTTTCGGGCCGATCTTGGCTTCGTCTCAGTCGTATGCAGTGACATCCAGCCTCTGCAGTGGTGAGCGTCGCATGGACAAAGGCGGAGTGGCGCGTCCAGTGTCATATACCAGGACTCGCGCAGCATGCAAGAGATATGCTATAGATAGGTGGTTCGCAGTTGTTCTACAACGTACTTCAATTTGCATGTCGTGGTGAACGGCCTTCTTGGCCGTACAGGTGCATGGGTAGTTTCACAATGCTTCTATAAGAAGCTTATGAGTGGGAGTGACTGTGAAGTGGAACGAGTATGGCCCCGAGCCAGGGCCAGGGGCCGGGTCACTTGCAGGATGCGCTCTATGTCTTTGGTGGGTATGGCGGCAGCGGTGGTGACCTCAGAGCCTCAGGTGCCTGTGCATGTTCTGCAGATGTTGCTGTCTCGACGTTGATCTTTCGGGCTGCATGCATCTAGGCCCGAGGCTTGCTGCACAGCTACAAATGATGCATGAGGTCGACTAGACGACATCTACCGCTTCAACTTTCCATCTAGGCTCGTCGCCGCACGTGCTTGATGCTGCTTGAGGTAGGCCGCATCACAGCAACCAACAGCTGCACGGAGAACTTGCCCGCGAGGTACTGGACAAGACTTGAGGTCCAGGGAACAGCTTTTGGCTCAGCTTCCGCGAGGGTTTCCCTTCGAAGCGAACTTCTTGCAGTTGTCCTTGCTATTTCCACGCGGACACTCCTTGTCTTCTCGGCACCGAGGTTCCTGCAGGCCGTGAGAACAACGGTGCTGTTGTCCACGGCAACAAGATGTATTTGCTTCCTGTCTCACTGAGAGGGCTTCATCGCATGCTAGTGCAAAGTGTGCACACTGCAACAGTTTCACTCCTGTCGACAGCTTTGAGCTATCTGAGGTTCGGGGGCTACTCCGGCTTCACTTGGTTAAATGACTTTCACAGCTTCAACTTCGACACGAGCACCTGGCAGGCTGTGCCGTGCACACCTCGGAAGAAGAAGCTAAGCAACTATCTCTACAGTGGTAGCACAGCTGCGACGGCGAAAGTACGTTTCGATCCTGCTGAGGTCGGGTCACAAAGGCAGCGTGCCTTCGACTCGATTTGGCTACGTGTCGGCCGTGTTGCTCGCCTGCATCATCCTATGCCCGCGCTTTGGGACAGCCGGTGTGTTGAAGAGCTCATGAGAGTCTGCGGCACAATGCAGGCATGGCGATTTCATGTACGTCTTCGGTGGCTATGACGGCTCTGCCTGGTTGAACGACATGTTCGACTTCGACTTTGAGCGAGGGTCGTCCTAGGCTTAGCTGATCTGTAACACTTCGACCGAATCCGACCTTGGTCATGGTCTGTAGCTGCAATCTGCGGTGCTGCATTGCTGCATGGGTTGCCAAGGTGGTACTCAACACAGGTGCAGGGCTTCATCCCCTCTGGAAGGAGGGGCACCTCAGCACGGGTATTCAGACATGGATCTGTGAGGGTTCCTGGTTTGCACAAGAACCGACAGTCTGACGGGCCTAGTGAAAGAAGCATGAAGTATCGGAAGATGTGCCAGGAGTTGCCCCTCCTGGGCCACTCACAATGGATCTGTCTACCTCTTCGGAGGCTATGACGGCCTCTGCCCTGGAACTCTGGAAGTGCTGATGAAGAGCGGAGATGTTGCTCTTGGAGCAGTTGGGCCTGCCCACCCGACCCCGAGGTGTTCATCGAATGAACGACTTCCACCAGTTCCGGATGGGCTCCAGGACCGTTTCCTCTCACACCGGCTCAGGTTTCGAAGGGTCGCACAGCAGGGCCCTAAGCCCCAAACGATGGATCCGCCGGTAAGGGGTCACTTAGTGGTGTAGGTGGTGAATCCCCATTGAAGTGAGCCTCCCGCCCCAAACCCTCCGCCAACATGGTGTTCCTACTAACCTTCGGTGCAGTCGGAAAAGAGGGGTTAAAAAAAAAAAAAAAAACTTGCCTTGGAGCGGTGATGGAAGGACTTGGTCGTCGGTGCGGTCGGCTGGACAGGCGGCATTGTCAATCGAGGACTTAGGAAAGCAAAAGACAAGCACAGGTTGACAAAGCCCTGCCGCCAAACGAGTACAATGAGGTTTAGTATTGAAATAGCTGAGGGTCGCTCGAGAAAGGCTTTGCGGCAAGATCAAGACTCAGCCAAGGCGTGACACTAAGGCTAGACTGGGCGAGAAGGCTGCTCACCACCACCACTGCAGCAAGAGCAATAGAAAGAAGAGCCACAACAGCAGTGGCACCCCTCACCACCACCAACAACAACAAGAAAAAGCAGAAGAACCCGAACGAGAAACAGAGCGAACGACAGCACGAACAAGAGCAACAAGAACAACCACGGCCCGCAACAGCTATTCCTGCTGCTGCGGCGACTGTGGCGACTACCATTATGCGGTCTTAAGAACCTTAGTTTTAAGCATCCGGCTGCATGGTGCAGGTGCCGTCTCCGCGCTACTTTCACGCCAGCGTAGCCACGTCCTCAAGGTCTCAGAGCGTGCTGCATGACGGTCACATGAAGAAGTAGCAAGTCATGGACGTCATGGTGCTATGTTGCAAGAGGGCAGATGTTGCGGCGTTTGGAACAAAAGCACTAGGCTTCGTGCAAGAAATCAAACACTATATTGAGCGTGACGCATGGGGGGTCTAACCGACCGAACTTGTGCTATGCGTAAGCGCGAAAAATTCCCACGGGGGCAGGGTGAGTGCGCTTGCCGGGTAGAACATTCTCTCTGCGAACCTGAGGTCTACGGCAATTCGTTGTTTCTCTTCGGAGGCTACAGCGGGCAGGCAGCTTTGCAGCATACCGATTGTCATGCTGGACTCAACCCCAATCCCGAAAATTGTCGAGACGGGAGGGCACACAGCCACGACTGGGAGTCAGCATAAGTTTCGAGCCCGGTTTCTTTTGTTTGATCCGAAATGCTCAGCAGAGCCGCGAGTAAGTCTGCAAGAGCTTGGGCAGTTCAATCAGAATCCTAGTTTCTTCACACGGCATGCAGGGTCAAATACGCTTGTCGAAATGATCCCACCTGCGTTTCAGGGTCCACATGGTCATCCCCTGGAATCCCATGCCTTCGAGTTTGCAGGAACGGTTAAATGATCTCTATGAGTTCCGGTTCGACTGCCATACTTGGTCCTTGGCTCAGTTCTCGGACGCCGTCCCAGGGAGACTAGCCTTCTGCTTCTCTTCCGTGTGCCTGCGCACTGCGGTTCAGGTTTGTGCTAAGCACGGAAGAGCCTCCCAGTGGCAGATCCTCGCTGGTCGCAGAGGCTCAGAGCGAGACGAAGGGGGCTTTGAGCGGAAGGGCGCTTTTGTAGCGCTTCAGCTTTGCGCCCTGCCGTTGCACTTAAAGCCTTCGACCTTCAAATCTGTGATCCGCTTAGGGTGTACTGAGCATGGGCACTCTCCTGGGCTGCTTTTCGGAAGCCTTCGAACTTCGGAATGTGCTCGCGTCATAGTCGCAGCTGCGTTTCCCTCGAGGTCTGAAGTGGTAGAAAGTGGAGGTGGTACTGTGCCAGCTTGCTCACTTTGTCCGCCATGGCTTCGCCGTCCTGGTTTAAACCTTCGTTTATTCCGCCCCGTCCTGGGCCTGTGACAATGAAGCAGAGTGCACTGAATCGCTCCGACGCAGCACAAAGAAGACTTCCTGGCAAGACCTGGGAGCACCACAGTGAAGGCTGCGGTGGGCCTTGGGAGCATGGATATCTTCTGGCAGAGATCAGGGAGCGGAGACCCGCCCAGGGGGCGGGCAGTCTGCGAGCTTTGGTGGACATGCTCACCTCTTGACCAGGGTGTGGCTCGAAGTGTGCAACCTGCGACTTGGGGGCCGGGGAAGACATCGATGGTTGGCAGCTGAAGGGAACCTGCATCGATGCCCTAGTGGACTCGCCTTGTACAGCTCGCAAGTGATGCGACAGTCCGCTTGTCTCCGTTGCAGTCTAATCCAATGCAGGTGTAGCCCGAAGGGACACTCGCCTTGTACAGCTCGCAAGTTACGGAATAAACCGCAGGAATGAGCAGCCCGAGGGGACTGCACGATGAGCGGTGATTAGGTCTGATTTTGGTAACCCCACCTCGACGTGTCAAGCTTGCTTTGTATCTTTTGCATCATTGACGCGGCGAAAAGGGCCTAACACGTGGTGCACTCTTTCTCGTAGCAAGGGGCTATATCACAATTGGGCTTGATGTCACCTGAGCTGCACCTCACAGCAGCATTGCGTACTGAGCCGCAGGCTTGTTTTCGGAGAGAACAACTGAACTCGCAGGCTGTCTAGAGTCTTAGAGCCTTCAACCGCGGGATTCAGTACTGGAATTAAGTCAACTTCTTGGCTTGCAGTAGACTGCGTGCGGTTGCGCTGAGTGAGGGAGCATTCGGGACTTCAGGGGCTTACTGGACAGCCTCATTTCATGCTGCACGGGGAGTTTCGCAAGTGCTGGCAAGTCACAGGTCTTCAACAACTCCTTGTACGTCTTCGGCGGCTACAACGGCAGCATCGTGCCTCGAGACTGACCACGGTTTAGGGGTTTAGGGTTTAGGGTGACCCCGTGGACACCTTTGGCCAGCCCGTGACGTGTCGCCTCCAGCTGTGATGGATCCTAGATGCGTTTGTCTGCCGTGCGAAGCCCCAAGTGCTGCTGGAGTTGCGAGGGTCGTGACAAGTACGGTTTAGAGTCTAGGGTTTGGGGGTTTAGAGTGCTGTAGTCCTGTGGACCTCCCATCGGCCTTCTTCGTCGGGATGGAGCCGAGCTCTGCCAGAGCTCTCAGTTTAACCCTGCAGCATGCCGTCACTGGCAAGACTTTGGTGACCTGGGATGACTTGGAGGAAGTTCGGGATCAAAAGCTGTTGATTTTTTCTGTGCCTTTACAAGACACGTCGGGTGAATGTTTGTGTTGCAACTACGCTTGCATGTTCAGCGAGCCGTTCATCCATCCCTATGTACTGTAGTGACTATGGCAAACCGAGATCGTCTCCCACAGATTTAAAGTTCCAACAGGGCCCCACAGAGATCAAAGCCCACGCCCTGGAGCAGGAGTGCACAACGGCCTTACAGCTTCGACAGCGCGCCGCCTCGGTGCTCGGGCTCCGTGACGTCACCGCGCTACGCCTGCTGGCAGCCTTTTCAGCGAAACGTGGTGCGGGGCATGCTTTAGTTTTAGATGTGGGTGATAGTGTCAACGGCGAGGTCGTGGATGTGGATGTGGTGTGTGTGTGTGTGGTGGTTGTGGTTGTTGTTGTCGTGGTCGTGGGGGTGGTTGCTGCGCTTGTGGTTGTGCTTGTAGCAGTGGGTAGTTGTGGCCCGTGGCTGTGGCTGTTCTTCTTTTATTTTGGTTTTTGGGCATTGAGATTTAGTGCTGCTTATGCGAATGCAGAGAGAGCTGAAGGCCTGCTACTGTGCAACGTGGAGCTGCAGAACCGCGGAACGTTGAAGTCCGCAGGACAGCGATCTTTGTGATGACGCTGTGGTGTAGAACTGCGTAGCAGCGTAGAGTGTAAACTCCAGGAGTGAAGGATGGCGACGTTCTTCAAGTTCTCTTCACCGAAGGCGCCCTTTTTTCACGTGTTTTTGGTTTTGGCTCTGGTCACTGGTCCTTGGCTCTGCTTTGCAGCTCTGCTTTGGCCAGGCCTCGGCTTCGTGACCTGCAGGGACCGCGTGGCACAGCTCTGGCGGCTCTCAGGCCCGGCCCTGGCCTCCAAGCACCTCCAAACAGGGGGGGGGGGGCGGGCTAAGCCTGCTCTGAGCTCTCCGCCCTGCCCTGAAAACTTTGAGGCGGTGAGGGGCCAGCGGTCAGTGTGGCCCTTCCCACGGATGACAACGTGATGTCGATGGCAATGGACCGGATATCCAACACCTTGGCTGCCCGAACCGAAAGGACGGTGAAAGTCTGGGCGACTCGGCTCTGTCTTCTGTGCCTCCTTCAGCTCGGCTCTGGGCCAAAGGCTCACTACATGTGTGTGGCATCATGTGAATGAGATCTAGATTTTGCCAGCGCATCATTAGGCCGCTTGTGCTGAGTTTTTTTCGCAAAATAGCCCGAGGATGTGGGGAGAGGAGAGCTCATCTTTGACCACGCACACGGCGAGGGAGGATCGGAGGCTCTGGCCATCTGCCAGGGGGGGCAGCTTGTTGCATTCTGGGGCGATGCCGACGGCGACCCGGGTCAACTGCAGGTTTGGAACATCCACGAAAAGTGCTGTGTCTGCATCTGCAGAGATTGTGCCGCTTTAGTGTGCTTTTCTCCAGACGGTCAGCGAGTTGTCGCCGCCGGCACTTGGGATACTCCTGCAAGCGTTTGGGACATTGAAGCCGGGAAGCAGCTTTGGACATTGGGACATGGTTCGGATGGGTTCTTCTCGGGCCTGCTCTTCTCACCTGATGGCTCCTCAATCGTCGTTGCCACCCGCGAACCAAACTGGGAGGAGATCGACTTGTGGTGCGGAAACACAGGGTGGTGGTTAAGAGGCTTATCAGGAGGAACCTTCTGTTTGGCGTTCTCCGACGATGGTGAAGAACTGGCGGGGCTTGACGAAGTCCGCAGCACCGTTTCTATTACAAGCACCGTGACCGGGTATGTGGTGGTGCAGCTGAGCCTCGCAGAGTGGGCAGGCTCTCGCTGTAGTCAGGCAGTGCTCTTACCGAGCTTAGATGACTTTTGCATCGTGGGCGTTTGGGAGAAGGATGGTGTCACTGCACGGACCATCCGAAAGCAGGAGGTCTTTAAGTTCGCCGTGGGGGACGATCTCGATCTCGACGGCATTGGCTTATGCTGACCGCACGTCAAGGCGGCAGCCGCTTGGTTTCGCAGGCCGGACACAGACATCAGCACTCCGAACCTCTAACCAAGTTTAACCGGTTTGTTCATTTTTGGTGTAGCAGGGGATTCGAGGGAGGGATACTAGTTACTGCCTAGTCACTGGAGAAGAACCTGTTGGCACATGCCCCAAGGCCTCATGCTCCAGCGCACATTTCAGATGAAATTTTAGATTCCAGTCCTATGCCTTGTGAGTTTCTGGTCTTGGGAGAACTCTGAGGAAGTCGATGAGTTGTCATCCAGAAGAGGCTGCTCGGCGAAGCCGCCGTACCGACTTGTCGCTCGGCTGCCCCGGAGTTCGTGAACCTTTCAGCTTTGATACAGGAATTGGAACAGTTGGCCAGCGGTGCACGTGGCTTGCCACATGGATTTCTGGCCAGCCGGGCCACTGCGTGTGGCCCGTGAAGCCCGCGGCCGTGCACGGGAGACGGTCCTGCCAACGAGTGATCTGGGTTTCCTGCAACGGGGTAGGATGGGATATGGCCGGCGCAGACAAGGATCCCTCGCCCGACCTGGATGTGGGTGGTTGTCAAAATTATGGTCCCTTTTTGAGTCCCTTGTCTAGTACGGCACCTAATATTTAGGGTACCCAAAAAGGGACCATAATTTTGGCAACCCCCCCCCGTGTGCCGCTTGTGATTGTGGTACCGGCACAACCCGCTTATCGAAAAATGGCTACCTGTTCGGCCACGGCTTCATGAAGTACCACGGGCAAAATCTTCTTCGTTGGCTTCCAGCTGCTTCCAGTATCTCTGCATCGGACAAGCTCGGAGGCGTTGGAGATTGTTGGGGGCCACCGCTGAGCACTCTCCAAGTGAAGCTTCTGAGCAGCCTACGTGTGGACTTCCAATGGCTCTTCTGGCGAGCTGACACTTGTTCGTCGTGGTGCGCGGATCACTGGTGTCCTTCTGAAACGACTCACCCGAGGATCCCGCAGCCTTCAAAAAGTCGCGACAGCAGGTGGGGCAGCGAACAGCACAAGTAAGACCATAAAGGCACAGTAGAGGAAAGGGTCGCTACAGCTGGTCGTACAGGTTTTGTTGCTTTGGCATCGCAGGTGTTTCCACGGGATGCCATGTCTTCCAAGCTAAGTGACTAAAATTCCTTGAACATGCTTGAACTGGGGATAGGGCTGCTTCAGGAACCTCATGCATTGAAGAGAGCCTCTACACTGGATTCAGGCTTCTTTCCGAAGACAACGATGCAGACATCCGAAGACGACGATGCAGACAGTGACACAGACGTCGAGCAGATGTCCAATTGCTCGTGGCAGCAGCTTTTCCTCTCCTCAGCCCTAAAAGCCCTCAACTCCCGCGCCCTCGGTCTTTCTCATTTATGAAAGGCTACAATCGGTAAATGCCGATAAAACCTAACAAAGTCGACATGCACACACACACACACAGACACACAACAACATCCCGAAAGGCCCCTTCAGTCCGAAAGCCGCAAATCCTGAAATACTCCACACTCAGAGTCGGCTCGGTGCGAAACTGTCAAATCCCGAAGCCCCACGGTGCGTTGCGCGGTTCATAGGCATTGGTACGCCTAGCCTTTTGCAGTCAGAAGTGGGACAGGGAAAAGTTCATGTAAATCTGCTGCACGCTGGTGTGTTTTAAGCAATTCTGGAAACTTGGCTTCGTCTAATCGGGTCTTCAAAACTGCAGGCACTCTTCCAGGCAAGATGCGCAAGGTACATCCTAATTTGGAGAAAGTCTGCGACGATGCAGGGAGTGTTCGCCACACTGGCCTCAGCCTGAGGTGCTGAACGACTTTTACGAGTTCAGGTTCGAACCTGTCAGCATACCGCTCGATGCCAAGGGTGACATTTGTTGACCGGATCTGGCCATCGGGCTTTGGGCTGCGTAGTGTCCGACTGAGGCCGTCTAACCTGGTTGATGACCTGCGAAAGCTGATCAACAATCCAGCATTTGCAGATGCAGTGTGCCCAGCTTCCCTGGAGTTTCGCGAGAGTGCAGGAGCATTCGATGTCCATCAAAGCCGACATGTAGCTGAAGAGGTCACTTTCGTAGTTGAGAACCAGTCTGTGTACGCAACGTTGGGGCCTCGGGAGTTTTGCCATTGGCAGTTATGCAATGCCATCGTTACAGCCGCTGGCAGCAACCTATCATTGAAATCCTCGATGCTGGACGTGGAATCCGTCAGCCACAAAGTCTTGAGATTCGGACTGGCGCGACCGGCGTGAGTCTGTGTGTCTTCCCGCTGTGCTTGAGAGGCGTGCGCATTTGGCTGCCCGGTCCGAACACTTCAGAGCGCTCTTCTATGGAGGCATGCGAGAGTCGCGGCTCGGCCGACCTGAAGCCTCAGAGGGCCCTAAACCGGATCACCCCGGAGCCTAAATTTCAATGGTCCCAGAAGCTTCCAGGCCTTTAGGGCTTAGGGCTTTGGTTTTCAGTCCAGGCCTTTGGGGGCTCGGGGCCTGTACGGGCTTATCAGGGCTCAGCACGATGTGAAGCACAGAGGGCCGATGTGGAACTTCGGAAGGTCCCAGGCCTTGAAATGATAGTCGTAAAGCCCCCAAAATTGCCCAAAACCATAGCTCCGGAGTGAAGCTCGGGACTTCGGAGTATTTTCCTTTCTGAGGTCCGATGCCGAGGAGCAAATCGTGCTTCAAGATGTCGCGCACCCCGTCTTCCTCTTGCTACTAGAGCAGGGGCCTCGGCTTGGCTGAAAGTCGAGGGAAGCGGCAGATGCAACGAGAAACAGCAGCTTGTCTGAAGAGCCAAGGTACATCTACACCGATCAGGCCTTGTTGGTGCTGACCCACCAAGCTGCCCTACCCGTTATCACTGGCTCTTGGCAAACCTCCATCTGCAGGTCGGAGAAATCTCCTCCGAGCTGGCGGTGCACCTGCTCATTGCGGCTGAGCGGTTCCTCTTAGATCGCTTGAAGGCTTCCCAGCCACTTTGCAGACTTTCCAAATTCAATGAGATCTCTACCTACCTCCAATGTCAGTACCATGTAGAGTTGGTCGGGTCTGTTTGCCCTCCTGGGCCCTAGGTAACCAACCACTTAGCAGGTAGAGGCATCAGGGCTCGATGCAACAGTTTTCAATGCCTTTCCTGGCTCGAGCATAGAGCAAGCCGCCTGAGTCAGCCGAACCGCATGGCTTATCATACGAAGTTGGTGCTTGCTGTTTTGTTCTTTCATGACACAGCCCCTTTCCAGTATCGTGAGATAATGTTTTTGTTGGCTAGCCTGAACAGGGCCACGGAACTCAGGGACTGACCGATCTCAACCAACAGCTAACACGGAAGTTAGACACAAGGCAGGACAAGCAGAACCACGAAAGGGATTGAGTCAGTTTTGCGGCGCTGAGCTGTTTGCAAGCGCTGCCGATGCCTGAGGGGGCGTGGGCGTGGGCGTGTTCGTACGAACTTCTGAATCGCCGTGCCCAACAAGGTCAGCTACCGAGTGCTATGGCAGGTGGTTCCCGGGTGTTCGAGTACTGGGCCACAGCCTCAGTTGCCGCTGCCTCTCAACTCTCAACCAAACCTTTCTGTCGTGCATAGAGCTCTGGCAGCAATTGGCTGTATGTGGACATGGCAAGGCTCACGTATGAAAACTGTCATGGGGAGCGCAAGTTCTGTCTGGAGGATCCAACAGCTACGAACGTGTGGCAGTGCCCTCGGCAAGGGGGATTGACAGGATCGCCTGCCCAGGACACCGCAAGCACGAATACGAATGTGGGCGAATCGAAGTTTCCACCTGTATGCCCCAGTCACGAGGCTCGTTTGTAAGCACGATGAGCAATGCTACCCGATGCAGAAGGCTGGGGCTGGGGCTGGGTCACACCATTTTCCTCGCCTCGACTTACGAGCGACTGCCGCTGTTCAGGGCCTGGAGCCTGGGCACTGGGTCCTCCACAGCAGCGACATTCCTGCAGGAGAGAGGGTCTTCGCTCCTGGTGTGATCCCCCCAACAGCGGTGAAGTATCCTCAAGCGCCTTACTTCGCAGACCTCTGGCAGGAGCTCCATACGCCTTTGTCAGCGAGTGGATCCAGGAGCGCGATGCCCGGTTACATCCGCTGCCCCGAGTCTGTCTGCGAGCGGGAGACAGAGAGAGAGAGAGAGAGAGAGACTCGAAAGAGGGGGGTGTACCCGTGCCGATCCTTATCTTTTGCCAGTGTCACAACGACCAAGTGACTCAGTGACCGGTGCGCATTCGTGCGCGGGCAGGGGTTGCACCGTTCCTTGTCCGAATGCAAGCAAGAGAGAACGAATACACCGAGCCTGCCCCGCCCTACACGCCTTGCAAGCAAGCAAGGCAGCAAGCCAGCAAGCCCGCCAGCCTGCCGCGCCCCACCCACCCCGCCTAACACATCGCCCCGTCGTGTGTTGTTGCCTTCACATCGCAGCGGGGGGGAAAATCCTTTGCCGTGCGGCTTTCCTGCGTCTCTCTCGGCGTAGCGCAACCGTTGCATCGTCAGAGGTCGCCGGGGTGTTCTGTGTTTGAAGGGGATACTTTTTTTGAATTTGTTTCGGCACGGCACCGTCGTGAATAGCTCTATCATGACTTCCTTCCTGAAGTTTGCTTTCGGTAAACCGGCAGACAGATCCTCGTTGGGCTGCATATTGGCAGTTGGATTTTATTTGCATGCTCAATTACACTCTTCCGCAATCCGGCAGTGGGACAAATCCTCTGTGCTGACCACGAACTTTCTTCGCTTGATGCAGTGCACGCGTCGCGTTGCCAGGGTCAAGAGAAGCTGGGACGGGATCTTCTTTGACTTTGGTCACTGTGGAGCTTTCCTTGCTTCAACTTTCTGGGTTTCCTGTCCTGCCTTTTGCAAACAGCCTCTGTGTGGAGCGGGTTGCCATGCAGATGTCATCTTTTGCATGTTTTTGCGTTGTTGCTGACTGGTTGCGAAGAGGCTGCTCTGCAGTTGTAGCAGCTACTCCATAGTAAGTTGATGTCAGTTGCACCATGAAGTTCTCTTCCTACCACTGCCATCATATGCACATACAGCTCCTGTCTGTTTGCACACGCTCAGCCGCTATTTGAGGACTTGGATATCAAATCGTCTTTGCATCATGTTTTTTTGGTCACTATATGTCCAAGCCTCCGAAAGTGCGTCGACTGGCGAAAATATACAAGGATTCTCACTCTCCTTCTTCCAATGCCCATGCTGCACGACATTCATTCGAGGTTCCGCCACTGTGGAGAGTGCGGGGCTTGCAACTGTCACGTGCTAGCAGTTGTAGGAGCTCCGGCAGAGCATTGATGGATGTTGTGAGCCCTGCAGTTAACAGTCCGACAGGATAAGGGTGGCAGCCTGCGACACACTGGGAAGAGTTGCATGGCATCCTTACATGTGAACATTGGTCATTAGCAAGCGTAGGCACATAATGGGAGGTGGCTGAACCACTGAAGTGAAGCTGCTATTGGCTCTCAGGCGCTCCTGGTTCGGATCCGTGCACCCTGAAGCCCAGGAGGCCTGTCGAAGAGCTTCGAGGCCTTTTTTTCTCCTGACCGTCACTGCTCTGTCAGGTAGGCCTGGTCCCAAAAGATCTTCCAAGCCCCTTGGACCACATTGGTTCCTGAGGTGTTCCAAGTACTACTGGTTTGGGGGGTTCTGCTGTCTCTCCTCTTCTCTTCTTCTCTCTGACTCTAACCCTCCTCAGGGGATCTTTTGGTGAAGTTTTCGGCAGAGGCCCGGAGATGCTGACGCCACAGAAACTCCGGCGAGTGAAGCCTGGAGCCGAGGTTGAACTCCGAGGGCTTCCGTTTCAAAAGGGGATGCGGCGGCTTTCGTCCTTCAGCGCCGAGTCTTCGGATCGTCTGTGGGCTGAGGACTCCGGCCTCCTCCGATTCAGTCCTGAGCTCAGCTTCAAACTGCAATGCCCAATGCCCGGCCAGCGACACGCCGTGCCCGTACGAACTCTCGATCAGGAAAAAGGCGGCTACAGCACCGGTGATGAAGCAACGACCGACGAGGCTAGACGCTCTACCGCGCACCCAGCCCACAGACGTGCAGCCATGAAGGGCACTGCATCGCTGCTGCAAGGCCGCCACACCACCGGGAGAGCCAACAGATGCAGAGAGCTGCTTCGTATGCATTCAAAACCCTGTAAATACGCATCCAACACCGACTGCGCATAGCCGAAGGGATAACGATCTGTTGGAAGACCCAGACCCAGAACCTGAACGATGCGTGCTTGACACTCCCTGAATACTTGATGCGGACGCTCCTTCCGCGTTCCGCTGGCAAGAGGATCAGTGAACAGCCCAAACTTAATCACCTGGCTGCCCAGGACTAGCCGCATCCGAGTTTTTCGTGCAGGCACTGGGACATGGGGGACTGGGGTACCTGAAAGAAATTCCTGGAGGGGATAGTGAGGAAAGAGGGGACCTCTGACCGCTTCGGCCAAGGCTGAGTGGTTTGGATTTTGCCAGGTTACAGCTTTTGGGGCTGCATGTGGGGCATATCCTTTAAAACTCTGAAGCTGATCAGAGTATTCGGGGCCAAGAGTTGGGCAACAAGACGCCAGCAGTTGATCTGGCTGAAGGCGACGGACAATCCCTATGTCACGGATGGCCACGGCGTGCGCTTGCGTTTGCTGCTTAGTTGCTGTCCTTGGACACATGAGCCTGCGCCTTCAACCGCGGTTTCTGGTCGATGCTTTCGTGGCCGAGTCCTCGTCGTTGTACCTGGGGGAACTCGGTCGAATGAGCTGGCTCCAGTGCACCCTGGGCTGAGGACTCCTGGTAGCTCCGCGTGTCGCGATCACCGGAGCACAGGCACATGTTCCAAGTTACATCACGCCGCTTTCAATCATCGTCAGCATTGCCAGCTATTTGCCGGTCTTCAATACTATCCACAAGATGACTGGTTGACAGGCTGCCGCCGCAGATGGATCTTGGGGTCCCCTCACCTTGCGGAAGATGCCTCAGGCGAAAAGATGGGGACGGTGAATCACAGCTTTCAGCAATTTGTTGGACAGCACGACATGTGAGGAGGAGAGGTGGTTCCGGATTCAACCCTAAAAGCTGTCGAGAGGCTTCACCTCCGGCTGCGCTCCAAGCCGCAGAGGACGAAGAGGAAACTGAAGCCAAGGGCCAAGGGGCTCTGCTTTGCTGTCGATGTCTACACCCCGGCTCCCATTGAACTGGATGTTCAGAGAAGCGACTTGCGTCCTAATCACAGAAGCTTGTCTACCAAAGTGCGTGAAAAGTCCCAAGGATCCGCTGGCGCCTGGCCAATGGTCCGGCACATGGTCGGATGGAACGCTTTGGTCAGGTTGCGCAAGGTGTCATCGTGGCATTTTCATCCGAGGATCGGGGATGCCATCAATTTTTGCATCCACGGCGACACTGAGATCTTGCTGAGAGTGTCTGCGACATAGCTTGTTCGAGAGCCCACGGGCATGTTGAAGGAGTTATTCCTGAGCATAGCATCCCAAGGCATAGAAGAGACTGGCGAGTGGATCCGAATGTTTGCAACTCAGTTTTTGCGGTTTTCTTTTCAGCGCTAAGCCTCTGTCCTGCACTTCAGGCCTTTGGCCTTCAAAGGGAGGATGGGGATGGCTGGTATGGGCCCGCGCCTCGGAGGGAAGGGCACCCTGCGCTTCGAGTTCGCCTGAACCCCGAGGACTCTCGACGAAAGCAGCCCGAAGATGGAGGGGAATGCACCGGCCTGAGCAGACACATCGCAGCAAGCCGCAGCTGACTTTGTTCAGCCCGTTCGAGGCATTTGCTCCGTTGGGCCCTGCATACTGGAGCATTGTGGTGCGCCTGGCCCGGATATCGGTCTCAGGTCCAACGGGAACAGCGCACATTGAAGCCCAGGGGGTCAAGCTCTGCGCCTCCAAAACTCACTCGTAACATCCCTCCTGGACAAAAGGCCGAGCACAGCCCTTCAAAAGCCCAGACACCAAGCCCTCTACAATCAAACCTCAAAGCACCGGAGATCGCCGCCCGCCAGACGGAGCTTCCACCAACCCCGGAGCAGTTTGCCCGGTGTGGCGACCGGGAGCCCGGGCCCCGCTTCGCTTCGGTCACAAAGGGTGGACGGTGTAGGTCTGTGTGCGTAGAATGTAGTGATATACTGTACTTCTTGGTGGGGGAGGAGAGGTTTGGATTGAATCTTCGAGCAAAGGCTTGTGCTCTACGAGCTGCATCTGGGAAGCTTCACGAGTGCCGGTCTCAGACGCGCCCATTGAGGCGCTGCAGACGTCCGGGCATGTTAATCACTTCATCTACTGGGAGAGGCACGCTGGTCTTTTTTTGCCGAGGCGAGGGCACCCTGGCGGCGGCGGCTGCAAAGTTGCCGCATATCCGGGACCTCGGCCCGGCTGCCAAGAGCCCTCGTGGCAGAGCGGGCTCGTTTCGACCGTAGCTCTTCCATGCGCTTCCGCTCAGGCGTTACCGCCATTTCCCTCATGCGCAAGCCTTAGCTGCCTTTGAACAATAGATTTCGTGGGCCAGTTCCGCTTCCCAGGCCGGTGCAGCAGGACGTGCTTGGGCCCTGGAGATTGTTGGAGCAGGGGCAGCGATGACACTTGAGGGATAGTCTTGCGTCTCCTTGGTAGCATCGCCGCCCAAATTACTCACCGTGATCATGTCTTGGGGAAAGACTGGGGTACACTGTTGCTCACGATTCGCGAGCAAGCCTCAGTTCTTTCCTCCCGCTTCTCCCGAGTTGTGCGACTGGGCTCAGGCGGCGCCTGACCAGTGGAGAGTTGGATCGGTGGGGTCGCGCTCCTACTATCGTAGAGGTGGGCCAAGCTCTGGCAAGTCTTTCCGTGCAGGCTATGACGTGATTTCCTTTGCTGCAGTTGGGAGCTCAGTTGTGAGAGCCTGCCTCTGTCGGCCAGAGCAGCGCTCGAGAGCTCGCTGATCCGAAGACTGCGAGTCTCTTCGTGCCAGGTCGATGCCTCCTACGGCGGTCTGCAGGACCTAGCACACTTCGTCCAGCAGGCCCACATGCAAAGGCCCTGGAAGGCGTGTCCATGTGGCCCGAGTTACAGAGAGGGGCTTTCGGTTCTTTCGAGGCTGGACCTTGCCGTCATTGTGGACTTTGTTTTCAACCACATGATGTGGGGCCAGATCCTCGGATGAGAGAAGAAGGTCGTCAACTGACTCTGGGAAAGCCGGCAAGGTGCTCAGTTCCTCTACGGACCGCATCTCTTCCTCCAGGAGGCGAAGACGAACAAGTCTTCTCAAAGCGCTTCACCATGATTAATGGCCAGGAGACGATCTGGGGGCCTCGACCCGACTTCTCCAAGCCAGAGGCCAGGAGAACGAAGGGCTGCAAGATGTTTTGATCGAGTCTGTCTGTCGTTCGCGACCGGTGACATGTTGCAGGTGGACTGCTGGGGCTGTGCTTGATTGTGATTGTATTTCGCATCTGAAGCCCCATCTCACACCAAGCCCTAGTGACCAGTCGCTATAGGCCCCTAGGCAGTAGTCAGGCTTCACCTGGAACGGTGCATCCTGGTAGTGTGCATGGCGCAGCAAGGGAGGCTGCCTGGGGACGTTGCCCAGAGGCGCTGGCAGCCACCCAGCAGACCACCAAGCCAGCCTCCCACATTGGCACCTCCCCTTCTTGGGCAGTCGGTCAGCAAAGACAAGCAGACGCGCCAGGAGCCACGCAGCAAGCCACCAAGCCAGCCTCCCAGAGTGGCTCCTTCCCTTCCTCGGCAACCGCCCCCAGGTCTTCCCCCACCACCTCAAATGCGGCCGAGGTTCACGAGAGCTTTATCCTTTGAAATCGCAGACCTGGTCGCCACGGCTCCGGCACTTGCCGTGCCGGTTGTTCCCAGTGCATCCGAGACGCCGAGCACAGACGGGCTGTCGAACGAATTGATCGACCGCCACAGACTCCTGGAGTGCTCCAGAAAGCACATCATCCGGGATGGAGATTGGCTGTCACCTATGCAGTGCATGCGCTACAAACCGCGAATGCCATGTGAGCATGTGGACCCAAGCGGCCAGCCCGCCTTTCCGACGGAGGCACCCTGGTGGTGCGAGGATCCGCGCTTCTTTGAGATGGCCAGTGCGAAAGCCCAAATCCACATGCTCTTCAGCATCTTCTATTACCAGCCCAATACCTATCGGCAGTACCTAGCATCAGAGGAATTGAAGAGGAACACATGGCGCTATCACTGCAAGCTTCAAGCTTGGTTCCAGCGCAAGGATCGCCCACGGATTGCGACACGAGAATTTGAGAGTGGATCTTTCTACTTCTTCGACTTTGAATCTCTGCAAGTCAGGATGAGGGAAAACTTCACCTTCGAATATGCCTGGCTGGAGGGCTCAGGATGAGTGATGTGCTGCCAGTGAGCAGGCTGCATCCCAGGCAGAGGCGATTAGAGGCAGAAAGCACAGGTTCTGCCATGAAGGCAAGGGTTGCTCAGAGCGGAAAACATGGCAGGAACCGGAAGCTGCAAACGGGTAATTTGTGCAGCGCACAAACTCAAAGCTGAACAGCTCCTTGTCCGACAGGTGAATCGATGCATCCTTGCTGCGGCAGAGACACTCCTTCTGCGTTCAGGGCTGAGCCGATTCTGGTCACCCGAAGTGACGTGAAAATCGTGTGTTCCGGTAGTTTAGTAATGTTTGGTATTGCGGCCGGTCTGTGGATTCTCAGGCCGCCTGCATCAAAGCTGGGTGGGCGGGCGGGCGGGCCGGTGGGTGGGTGCGTGTGTGCACAGAGGTCCTCACATGAATACCGTGTGCATGCATGCTTCACAATGCGAGACAAGCTGACAGTCCAAAACGATGACACGACGATAATCAGAACGATAGTCAATTAACCTTTGCTTGACCACGCCTCGACATCCTTGGAGACTTAGTGCCGTAGTGTTGGGTGGACCGCATCTTACTCCAAGCCACCAAAAGTCAAGCTATGTCAAGCCTGTTCTCGTGCTTGTTATGTCCTAGCCATCGGCCGGCCCCCCATTTGGCTGCGACTTGCGCTTTCAGGTGTCGGTGTGGATGGGCTTCGAGTGGACTCCACAAAGTCTATCCGCAAGCTGCCAGGAGGCAAGACGGCGTGCAGTGCCTTTGCAAAGCCTTCCGCTGCAAACAGTGGAAAGGCGACAATGATCCAAATGGCGCCGCTCTTCTGGCAGAGCTGACGACGCTTTGCAGGCGCTGGGAGGGAGGGAGCCGCGAGCCGGGGATTGATTCTGAGCTGCGTACCCCAAAGCTACCTTCTGTTTGGAGGCGGCAGGGCCGCCTGGCACGGACCTCGGACTCGGATGGCATCGAAGCGCATTCCCCTGGAGCTCGGAGCTCGGGGAGCTCGGGCAGGCGATCGCCGAGGACTTGGAGGATGGCGACGGATTCTTGCAGTGCCTGCCCTACCATAGCGCCTTCTTGGGCCACAGAAGCCATAGAGAGCCTGGGCCTGGGCCTGGAGGTGGGGCGGTCTTGGCTTCCATCTCCAGTGGGACATGGCGCTCTTCTGCTGGACCAACCGGCTTCGGCTTCGCTTTTGTGCTTCGCCACTTGTCGCTGCCCGTGCAGGATCTACGATGCCCTGGTGCATCCCCTGGACGAGCCTGGGTCTTATTGTAAACTTGGCAAAGTCGAAAGTCGTGCCATCTTTCGGTGGGCTTGTGTTTGTTGACAACTGCTCCGGGCTTCCTAGGTTCCGAGACCTCTCCAAGGTGGTGAAGGGCCTGACGGGGTTGGCACCCGGGCGTAGGGGCCTTGACAGCCTGGGATCAAACTTTCCCTGCGGCGCTCTGGAGTTAGCTAATGTGTCATTCGCCCCTGCATGGAGACATTCAGAAAATTAAAGCGGTCATTTGTGGAGACATGCAGCATATAGCATTACCGCCTCCCGTTTGGTGCACTCGTTTTGAGCGCATGCCTCGAGCGGCACGGTTGGCATCTGTGTGTAGAGCATCTAGTGGAGCTTTCGCATACGGTGGGAGGTAGGGATTGGTGGCGGAGGACGCCGACTTGCGAACTTCGGGACGGGCCACCCTCAAGCGAGAAGTTCTGACACTTCCGCTCTCATTTTCTTCACCGACACTGAGGCGCCCATGCGATGCGTGGCCGTGTTGCGACTTGGCTATGACTGTGGATAGTGTCGTTGTGTCCATATGCTCGGCGGTCAGAATACACCAGCGGTGTGCATGTGACATCCACTGACCATAGAGTCCATAGACGAGGGCAGAGTAGCTTGGAGAGCCAGTTTCAGCTCGTCCGCCTGGTCGTTCTGCCAGCATCGCCGTAAGGTCTTCATGGCCGGAACCTGAGTAGCTGGATGTTGCAGGGTGCCATGCCATTCGACGGCCCGGTCCTTTATGCACCGACGAATCACCTCAACCCCACGCACGGGATTCACCGGACCGGCGGCTAAAGCCTCCCTGGACGTCGCCATGTCACGTCGCTACTTCTAACCCGGCTTTGCAACCCTACTCCCAACTACCCATGAGCTTTCAACTCAAGTAACAAGCTGTAGCAAAACTCCAGGGCATAGATACACAGCTTCTTAGCTTCTTTGTTGCTCAGGAGAGCCATGACACCGCCGCAGCAGACCGCTACGGAAGGGCCCGGGCCTCGAGCTGCCAGTCGAAACAAGCCCTAAGAAGCCCTAAGCCCGAATAATGTAGGAACCTGATGAAGACACCTTGGGTCGATAACCCCCAAACAGTAGGATTCATATAAGGAACCCTAATAAAGGCCCAAGGTTTCTTAATCAGGTTCTTACATTAATGCGCATAGAGACAGATATTTGGTAAGTAAAGCTATGCGGTCAGGGCATACTTCCTCGTAGCAGTCTCGACTGCGCCGTGGGAATCTGCCAGCGGCTCCGGAGCCAGAAAAAAGACAGAGAGAGATATGTATGTATGTATGTATGTATGTAGGGTTTCGGATCGAGCCGCCCTGTAGCGGCATTGCCGAAGCCCCAGTGGGGACGACCTCACGACGCCATCCCCTCGGTGGCACCGCTCCGCGAGAGCCAAGCGGCACAGGGCGAGGTCTCGGCTGCATTCCTTGAGGAAGTGCGGTCTTCCACCCTGGTCTAAGGACGTTGCCCTTCTGGAGGCCCACCACACGGCTCCCAGATACCTGCACAAGGGTGTAAGGAGTTCCATGGGCAAGAACCAACCCCGCCGACCTCAGCAACCACCATGGCGTGGAGAGGAGCAAGGCTACGGCCAGGGCAAAGATGGCCGCAAATGGGACTACTGGCGTGGCTCCTATGCTGTGTCTCCCCGACAGGATCGACCTCAGCTGCCGCGGTACGACCAGGTTACCCTCAAGGAGGACCCGGCCACGAAGCCTCGCGACCCCCTTCCTGCCCCGCAGGCGGTTCCTGGAAGGAGTGCAGCGGACATGAGCGTTACACAGGCCATACAGCGCGCGCTCACGACTACAAGGAAGGCAGATGGAAGGATCCGCCGACTTCAAGAGGACAAGATCCTCAAGGCCAAGCAATGGGACCAATTCGTGGCAGACCAGAAGGCCAATTTTGTCAAGCAGCGACGACAGTACGAAGCGGATGTCAACAAGATCGAGGCGGAGCTCCTGCAAGCTGCCGAAGTGGGCAATGCGGCGGCGGAGCAGGTCAAGGCTTTGGTGGCCCATGGTGTGGCAGCCATCAAGGCCCCGACCCCGCGGGAGGACCCGGAAGCCAGCCAATGGGACCAGATCATGCGAGATGCTCTCACGGAGGCCGACAGTGGGAGCTTCTTTCAAGAGGCTTTCTCTGCTGCGGCTCACTTGGGCAGCGGCGGAGTACCGGGTTTTGGTTCCAACAATGCAGCGGCACCTCCGGCCGGCTTGGCTGCTGCCAATCACCCTGCGCCTACGTATGGACCGGCATCTCCGACAGCCAATCTGCCCAATCCCTACATGGGCAGCCCGGGTCCAACGACTGGACGACCGGGAACAGAACCTGGGGATGTCAACAAGAACCCGGCAACGATGGTTCCACCGACGCCCCCGGGGACAGATTCCAGACCCCCGGGCACTGTACCGACTGGAGTGCCAGAAGGCGCCCACGCCAACAACGGCTTGCCAGGACAGATGCCACCGGCTGGATATCTTCAAGAACATCTGGCTGCCAAGAGGGAGGAGCGGCGGTCAGCGATGCACCCCTTTGGAGTTCCTCCGCAGGAGAAGCCGGCAGTTCCTGGGGAAGGAACTCCTCTGCCTACGACCCCGGTTGGCCAGGGAACTACGAACGTCCCGGGCCCACAGGTGATGTCAGTCGACGACGAGGAGCTCTCCAAGGCTGTGTCTTCCCCTGGGCTAGGCAAGATGAACTGACCCTCGCCGGATGCCCAGCCATAGTTGGGATGCACAGTCGACAATGTGCCTTTTTCTGGCCTCGACAAGCTGGAGTGACTGACAGTAGGCAGGCCTCCCGGAGTCAATCGCATCGGAGACGCTGTGTTGGCAGACTGGTGAAGCATGGGCGGTGTGAGATTTCTTGGGCGAAATCTCCACTTACCTGCATCGTCGTCGGTCAATGCCCTCACATTGGATCCTTTGCGAGTGTAATCCGAGGAAGCCTGCGGTCTCACCCTAGCATCGCAGACGGGCCTCGGCCCCCCCTTATCTGTCTTCCCCTCGGCCACCTTAGGTGCTCCTTGGTCTCTGGAGTGCCCCTGGGTTGCCTTCTTCCATGGCCTTATCGGGTCTCGCTGCCAACAGTTTTGCCGTCGTGGTGCCCTACTGCTTTGGGGTCCTGGGTTTGGACTTCCGAGTGGCAAGGTCACCTTTCTTCCTCTGTCTCCTTTAGGCACTGTCTTTTTGACCGTGTCCTTTGGGGGGCCCCGCCTTTCTTGCCTCCATTTGTTGAGGTACAGTGCTGCATGTCGAGAGCGCAAAACACTTGTATCGGTTGCTCAGGGACAGGGGCCTCGACATGCGCTTTTTCACACTACCCTGTTGTCACCCTGCATGGGCTCCCTCACGGCCATCCACGACTTCCTTCATGGAGTTTTGGTGCTTGGTGCGATTGGGCGGAACAGCAGGTGTGTTCAGCTTGGATCATCTTTGGAGCCCTGCTGCTTTCTACCTTCTTTCGGCTCATCACCAGAGCTGCCGGACTTCACCGGACATTTGTCGGCAAAAGTCTTTACGTGGTCAGCCCACCTGCTGGCCCTCGCATCTGCCGACCGCTTCTTGAGGCTGCGGTTCCCAAAAATGCTGTGCTTGATTGGAGTCCTGTTCGGCGCAGCAAGCCCACCCATCGCACTTTTGGGAGCTTTGGTTGGGTTAGTCGGTTTCTCTTGGCGATGCTCTCCCTCCCGCAAGGGATATGGGCCATCCCTGGTGGCCAAGAAGTTGCACAAGCC